GACTATGTATGTCTTCAGCATCTCCTCCATCATATTGCTTTTTTCCTTGCTTACTTATATGATTATATTCTGCTTACTATTTAGGTGGCTAATATTCAGTAAATGTGAAATGTAAAAAATAAAATAAACCCAATGGTAATTGTAATTAACTTTAAAAGCCTGGCAAAAGGCATGTGCCTTGACATCTTCCAAAATGGAGATGTTTGCAGTTCCACGGACCAGGAATATTGCGGGAGAAGACCTTCTTTCATCTGTGAGATAGATGAGTTACAGATTGCAGGATCTCTTTAGAAGGGCCTCTCCTGCAGATCAATATACCCATACTATTAGGATGGCCCTTCCCTTAGACAATGGGGATATAAGCCACTTAGGATTTCAGAGGCCTATACCAGTACATCAAATTGTGCCTAAAATCTGACATACTAACACCAAGTTCCCTGTACTTTGTACTTATTAGCAGCCTAGTGACAATATTTTAAACCAGTTGCAATTCCCAGTCATTTCTCAGCATGCATTATTTTCTATTGTGCTTAGCTGATCAATCAAATATAAACAAACCCAACAATATTAAAGAATTGACACGACCTCAAAAATGATAAACATGGCAATAAAAAAAGAAAAAAGTCTTAGAAATAATGTGATTACTAGAACAGCTCCAAAAATTTTAACCATGTTAATTGAACATTTTCTTCTTTTCCAAGACCAATTCAGATATTGACCACAGTACGTTGCTGTGATGAAGGTGTAGATTAGAATAAAGTGTAGTGTTATATAATAATTCTTTTAGTCAACCCTCATTCTCCCTCTCAATCTATAATTCTTGATATCATGATAAATTCCAAATTCTGTAGATATAGCAAAAACAACATAGATATATTTAATACATATTGTTAATGTTTTGTAGAGTCTTCTTAACAAACCCTGTGTTTTTTCCCCTAGTACTATAGTCTCACGCAAACTGCTTTGTAATTGTAATTGCACGGCCATCTTATTTTCTTTCTTTTTGCATCAACCCTTGCTGCCAATCCTAATTTCCAGGAAATCCTGCTGGTTGGGAGGCTATATCAAAGAGAGCCTTTGCCCCAGCTGTTTTTCTTTTTTTTTTGACCCACTGCTTCAACTGAGCAGTCATTCTACTGGGGGTTTTCTCACCCTCCAGCCATCCATTTTCCATCCCTATCTGGATTGCTTTCTCAAGGTTTACTAAATAAAAGGACAAAGAAGTCTTTACTAGGTAAAAGAAAACATCTCCTTCAGAGTTCAACATTTTTTGGACATTTCTGAAAACAGGAGTGCCTGTGCAGGATTCCTTTTCTGTAAATATGAAAAGCAATGGGGGATGATCTATGAGTGGATGCCAATTCGAGGACATGAAATTATTAATATAGAATTGTTAAGGGGGACTTACATGAGAGAGGAAGGAAGAATGAAGGGGCTGGCTGGACCCATTGCCCAGGATGTGTCCCTGAGACAAATGTGACAATTGGGCTGATAAAGGCTCCCTACACCTAATTGGTTGATAATCAATAGCGTCTTGTCATAAATTAAATCCTTAAGTTGGAAAATAAGAGCTGGAAATAGCACAGTATCATTACTCAGAGTGGGAAATGTACATCACAAACCATGAATCATTACTCAGAGGAGTTAAAGCAATGTGTTAAACAGTTATGTTTTTAGTGCAAATGTTCAGGATGATGGTACTGGGCTATTCATGCTCAATCACATTGTTTTAGTAACAGGATTGCTAATTTTCTTCCTCTTTGCATCACAGAAAAATGTTGCAGTTTTTAAATAATGAATTAATTAGAGCATCTATTAAAAATAAATGGTTAGCCAGAACTCTCCAATGAATTGGGCAATAGAAACTGCAGATGGAAGTTGTTGTCTTAAAGCACACATTGTACCAGAGAGTTACATTTTATTTGCTTTATCTAAACCCTTAAGGAAGACAATTATACCCATTGGTATATTTTCTTTTATCAAAAATATATTTTATATTTGTGATAATATTGGCAAATTTAAAAAAATATATAACGTTTGCCCATTTCTTTCATTATCTTGTATTCTCTGAAAAAGGTGCTCTGGGAGAATAGGCAACTCTGTGGAATAGCAGGAGGGAAAGGGAAATTGTTTTTAAAAATGCCTTGTTTCCTTTTATTAGTAGGATTAGACCCACTATCCATTCTGGAAATAAAAGGGCCTCATTAAAGGGAATGCTCAATTTGTTTGTCATGTGTTGTTTCTCATGTAGTGATTGAATTGGCTTAGCCCATATAATTGATTGACCAAAAATTTATTTATTTAAATAATGGCCTTAAAGAAAATGCAGTATTT